GACTAATAAAGGCAACACCTGACAGGACATAGCGCTTCTAGTCCCTCATGTCCACAACTCCATTTCAGAGCTTCTCTTTATTCATGGGAGTCCATTTATTTTATCAATCACATTATCCTGCCACTTGGAACCCATGTGAGCCCCCATTCATGAGCACCAGAACCACAGACACTGTCTTGGTGAGTATCTATGAGGGCAGAACCTCTGTATGCTATAGTGACTAATAGACCTGGTCAATTCCTCTCATGGAGTTTGCATATGAAACATGGCGGGTGGCAGAACAATAATAGATATACACAGAGCAGGCAAAAGTAGAGAACATGCAGTAGCAGGAACAGTGAGACAATAGAAGCTAAGAAAAAACAGATGCCGTAAATTAGAGAGAGGAGATCCAAATTAGCTGGCAGCCAGGTAGGAAACTGGAAGTAAAGGAAATGGGAGGAACTGAGGCATAAGCATGAGAGACTATTCAAGCCAGGGCTGAATCAGCAGAGTGGTTGTTGATGGTTGGCTAGAGCTCCTGTGCTCGAGTGCCCAGAGCAGTGATGAACGATGTTCCGGTTCTTCATTTGACCTTCCTACCTGCTCCTCATTTCTTTCCATGTAGCTTTTAAATGAATCCCCATTAACCGAGATGACCTCAGCTGGTCTCTATTTCTTGCCATGTGGAACAGTCTAACAAATACAGAAAGTGAAAAGAGGAAGAAAAATGCTGCTCCTGACATCTGGGGAAACAAAGTATTTCCTCATATTAACGCTTCTCTTCTTTTTCATAGGGAGACTAGAAATAAAACAGTTAATTTTGAATGGCATGGAAGAAATTTATAAGAATGGAAGCTACTTGCTAGAGCATTTGATTCATTTCTGAAGTTTCTTTGATCTCAGATTTAATCAAGATGCTTAGTCAGTTCATCTACCTAAATAGGGGAGTTCTGTTTTTGTTAGTCAAGTACAATTAGTATTTCTCATGGTGCTCTCTCAAGAAAGATCTGAGTCCCACATATGCATATTAGAGAGGAAAAAAGAGACTTATTTAGATACTTCCTTTTATTCTTACATGAACAGAGAGTCAAATGATTAAGAAATATATATAGTTATTTAACAAGACCAGAAAAAGAGTTTTCTTTAAGTGGAGAAAGTGCTCAGTAAAATAAAGACATTGTGAAATTCTCCTGGGAGTAAAATCTATGAAAATTGATGAACTAATAATGTAAATTCTCAACCACAGTGTCTATAAGAACCAAATCTTCAGTACAGACTACGAATCAACAAAACTATGTACTTCTAGCCAAATCTGGCATGCAACTGGTTTTGAAAATAAAGGTTTTTGAGACACGCCTACACCTATATGTTTGTAAGTGGTATGTGGCTCTTTTGAGCTACAAAAGCAGAGTGAGACATTAGAAAAGAGATCATGTGGCCCACAAGACTGAATAATTTTACTGTCTGACCCTTTAAATAAAAGGTATGCCAACCCTCAGTGTAAGTATGTATCTCTTACTCTATAGTGCTTTATCCTGTGTACCTCATTTTGTAGTCATATTTATGAGACATTCACCACAAGCACCTCAAACCTGGAAGTATTTGGGAATATACAACATTATGATAAAATAATGAATAAACATGCCCTTAAAAAGGAATTAGCCGTTGCTATATTCTAAAAATTTGATATTATGTCTAGGTTATTGGAAACAAACCAGACCAAAACAAATAAACACAAAATCTACATTTACTATGTGGCTCTGGGGAAAACACGGGGAAGATATTTAGTTCAGTTCAGGCAGATTATACCACAGGGTGCCTAAATGAAGGATAATCATTAAAGCTGTCACTTATAAAACATAATGGTAGATTGTGACTGAATTTAGAACAGTTTTGTGTCCCACAGTGCTTTTCAAAGTCCAACAGGTACTATTTCAACTACAACAGGAGTGACAATGGCCTGGGGTGGCCTCTCCACTTCAAAGTTACTTTTCAAAACATAGTTCAGATATACTCAGTTCTGATGGTGTCTTTCCTGATTTCCTTCCAGGCTGGGTTAAGATCATTCTGTCCTGTATGCTTCTGAGCATTCAGACATTTTCTCATCCATTTTTGTATTCCACTGATAGGAACAGAGAAGCTACTTAATAGAGTTCATTAAATTGAAGGAATTACTACCTGCATTCTGGTGGCTCAGATTCATACTAATGTATGATTCATACTAATGTCTGAATCTTCTCCTAAATATACATAACTTATTCCCCAAAGAAGCTGGGCATCAGAAGAAGTTGGCTCAGTCTCTGCCTGTACATAATGTTAAATATGAGTGATAAATGGGATACTGAATTCACTAACTCACTTTAAGCAAATATCTGCACATCAGATATCCAATCCCCTCCAAAAAAAAAAGAAAAAAGAAAACCACACACACAGAGGAAGTGGATTTAATTTAGTTTAATTTTTTAAAATAGGGGTTAGAATGTTTTTTCTGTAGAGGACCAGAGAGTAAACTTAAAAAAAAATCAACTTTTAGTTTAGATTCAGGGGGTACATGTGCAAGTTTGTTACATGGATATATTCTGTGATGCTGAGGTTTGGGGTACAATGGATCCCATCACCTAGGTAGTGAGCACAGTACCCATCAATACAGCAAGTTTTTCAACCCTTGCCCCTCCCTTCATCACTCTAGTAGACCCTAGGATCCATTGTTGCTACCAGATAGTAAATATTTTAAGCATTGTGGGATATATGGTCTCCTGCAACAGAAAGAAAGCAGCAATACACAACATGAAAAAGAATGGATGTTGCTATGGGTGGATTTATTTATAAAAACAGGAAACTGGACAAATTTGTCTCATAGGTCATGGTTTGTGTAACTTTGCCTTAAAGAGAAAGGACATTATAAATCGTGGAAAGACAGAATTTTTTTGGTAATTCATGCTCATCTCTATTTAAGAATGATATCTATAGCATTTGGGTCCTCATTATAGACTGTGTATAAGCAATTGCAACACCGACCTTTCGGAATCTCTGACCAAGGAGGAGAACAAAATAAGTTATTAAGTCAGGCAAAACTTCCTGTACACTATGATGATAGTGCTTATTCGGCCTTTGATGAATATGGAAACTTAAATAAACTACTCACAAACAATTCTCTTGTAGACTCACTTGAAAGTCGGTGTTTTATGGGAAATACGTTTGGAGTAGCAGGTATAATATGGCTAACGTACTACCTAAGGTAGATACTCAAGGACTCAGGCCCACCCTGAGCCATCACATTGCATGGAGACAACTGGGATTGTAATACAGGATACAGTAAAAGAACATAAAGGGAAAGCCCTGTGTTCAAATGCTTCTCTGCCCAATGATGTCACATTTCTAAGTCTCAGTTTTCTTACCTGAAAGTGGTGTAACCACCTATAGCATTATTGTAAGGACTGAATGATATGAAACTCTCTGTGTGGCATCTGAAATCCTGTAAATGCTTGAAAAAATAGGGTTTCCCCCTCTCTCTGGCCTCTGAGAGTCCCAGCTCTCTGAAAACACTGCCTTCCATTCAACAAGTGTTCATGGAGGGTGAACCACATTCCAAGCACTCTTCTAGGCCTGTAATGTCAACATGCAACAAAATATCCAGGGGAAAGGGTGACTTTCCGGGCAGTTGCATCTAGTTTCTGACACTGTCATTTATAACCATAAAGAACAACGTATCTGGTTCCCAGTTCTCTCTCATAGCCTAGCCATGTGAAGTAGGCGACAGTAAGAAATACCAGGTTTGCATTTTCTGGAACATAAGGGATGCAGGTTCATTTAACTGACAAATGTCTGAGAAACTTAAAGTGGGGAAGAGATCCAGACAGCCTATGGTAGCAGAGTGAAGAGGGATGCTAATCGGTTATGCGTTGCACTTCCACTAAACATGGAGCAGGGTATGTGTCTGCTGAGGACAAATGTGAAACCCATGCAAGTGGGTCATCCATGGGCAGCCTTAAAGGGGACTCTGTCCACAAAGACCACCTACAGGAGAGAGAATATTCACTGGAAGAGCCTGGAAATGGACCACCAAAATCCAGGAACTGATACCCTTCAGCAGCCAGTTGGGTCTGCACCAAGGAATTGCAATTGGGAGTCCTTGGTGGGGGATCATCCAGTGGCCAGCTCCCAAATAAAAAATAAATAAGTAAAACAGAAACCCTACCCTATGAAATGGCAGCGTCTGGTAATTTGCCATACCTAGAGCACACCAAAGTCAAATTAGAAATGTACCAGCAATACAGATCTTTTCCTTTCTCTTCCCCTCCCAACACCAACCTTCTATAGCTCTGGAGAATCCAGAAGTAACACTGTGAATGGGGAAAGATAAACTGAAGAGCAGAATGGAGAGAAGTTGGACTGACCATGTATTCTCTTTTGCGCTACTGAATTCTCAGGCTGAGGCACTGAGCTACTGAAAATGAGAAACTTTAAACTAGTTGAAAGCCTAAATTCTAACATTTATACTTCAGTTTGAAGTGTATACACCAGACTGAAATTTGTAATAAGTGAAAAAATGAGCCTATATGTTAACGGGTAATAAAAATGACCACAAAATCTATTCCATGTGCCTAAGCTTTCATCTAGATGCAGGGAAGAATGAGTGGATCAGATGTAAAGAGCAGTGTTAGGACAAGAATAGTTTTTTGCCTACAGTCTACTGAGCTCAGCTTATTCACAATACGACAGTGCCACAGGTAATAAATCAAACAATGCCTAGTTCATCAAGCAATAATGAAAATGCTACTGACCCACGCTCAATAGATATTGAAGTTGTTTTTCATGTATTTGGGAGAAAATTGTGCTGAGTTCGTCATACTGTCTCACAATGAGAAAAGTTCCTAATACCTCCTCTAAATAATTCACCATCAGAATGATGTATTTTTATACCATATATTTTTATATGTTCTCAATAGTGATCAAATAAATCTTTTTGTTTTTCAGTATTATTCCTGGCCAGCTAAATCTCTTTTCTTCATAATAACTCAGTTGGACAGAAAATTACCTCCCACGTAATGACGAGTTCAGACCGACTTCCTCCACCTCCATTGATGTTTACTGGTGCCACAGCAGGGACTAAAAGCAACCAAGAGAGATGTGGGATGGCAATTATTAAAGTACATCTTCATCAGGAAGAATTTTGTTTTTGAATTTCACCTTTCAAAATCTCACACAGGCATATTGTGAGAGTCTTGCATTTTTAATGAACGTAAATTATGTTTACACGTATCCAAATTTCTAAGAAAGAGGACACAGTTGTGTTTGATACATGAGCACCCTGGCTCCAAAATTAATTAAAAATTGAGTAACATCGGGCATTTGACATTATTATGCATCATCTACTAATTGGCAAAATGATGTTCCATTCAGATGGTAACAGTGACACTGCTGATTTAGTGCCTAATTATACAGTTGTGCTGTAAACAAGTTAGTGAGGCAGTATATTAATTAATTTTTTTTTCAATAAACAAACTAAAATAATTTTTCTTTTTATTAGTCATCAGGATATTTTAACATTTAAAATTAAATATTGAAAAATATGAAAATAAATACATTCTTGTTTTAAAACTCCTGGTTAGAATCTCAAATCTCTCGGGAGAGAATAAGAGGGATTTTCTTCCAACTTTTCACTAGCAAAGTCAGATTTTTCTCCTGGCAAGAATGTGATTGGAAGAGGTTCTTTCTATTTATTTCTTGGGATCTAAGGCTCTGTGGTAGAAGATTCAGAAACCAGTAATTTTGATGAGTTTTTAAAACGTATGCCCTTCAACTCTATATCCTTGTGAGAACTAATATAATGAATAATAGTTCATAGAAACTGTAAAACTGAGGAAATGCTGAGTGTATATACAGTATTGTAGTGTCTAATGAGAATGAGGTTTTACTTTACACATGTGTAAGTGTTTAAAAGCATTATTTTTCTTGGCATAATGACAAAAAGTATACTAAATCTGTGATAATGGCTAAATCAGCAGGGTATGCTTTTTAAATGTGGAATTACATGAAATTGTCTATACTGGACCATTTTTGAGCAATGTGAAAGGTGGTTGGTTGAGGAAGCACCTGGATATGTCTGGGGATTGGTAGTCAGGGATTAAAATATGTAAATTTTAATTCCTCATTTCAAATTTTTCCCCACCATGTAGACCATCTAAATAAATTTAGATTACTTATTTTATTTATTTCCATTTCATACTGATGTTTAACTCTATAAACATGACCAGAAAATAGTCATATGATAATCTGATTGTTCTTCTTCAAAATTGCACCTTTCAGATATACCTTTTCATATTTAAATTTATCCTTAACTTTTCCAGCTTTAAGCTTCATAAGTTTTTAGAAAAAAATTATGTGAACCTAAACCTTATTTTCTAAGTCTTCCAATGCCTTTGATCAAAAGTGATGTAAATCAGAGTGGATTTTACAGAGTTGCTGAATTTATAGTGCTTGACAGCTTGCAGTGACTAACTGCACACTATCTCAGGACCTTTGCATAGTTTAGCTGTGTAAGGAAAAGTATTTTAAATTATATTTTGATTTACTTTCTACAAAGTTTCCAGTGTTCTGAGAAATAGAAAATTCCTTTCTCCATTCAATTTCAAATTAATTGTACTTAAACCTAAAACCATATTGAGAACAAGTTAGTCTTTGTTGATATCAGAGAGAGAGAGAGAGAGAGAGAGAGACGAGAAACTCAGTAGCTTTTCAATCAGTAGAGTTTGACTCAATAGGTATGAATATCACCAGTCTCATTCTGCTACTGAAACAAGAGAGTATTAATGGTTAGAAGGTGGCACACAAACTTAGCTATGAAAATGTAAGAGTTTCTGTCAACGCTGTCCAAAGCTACCAAAATATAAATCAATGGTAAACAACCTGAAACTAAAGCTCATATCCAGAGTCATGGGCAACACCTGAAGATTCTGATCCAGGGGATATATAGGAGGGCCTGGGAATTTCTATATTTACACACTTTCTTTGGCTAATCTATTGCTCATCTACATTAAGATCCTCTTTTGTGGAGAATGCTGGGTGTAAAAATCAGGAAGTTTGGATTCAAATCCTAGCTCTGTCACAAACAACCAGCTAATATCCAGGTCTTCATTTTCCTCTTCTGTAAAACGAAGGGATTTCCTTTCAGCTGTAAGTTTCTAGTGTGATTTAATTGGGTGATATCACTGTCAATTAAGTCCTTTTTTCTAGCCCCAATTCTATGATAAACAGTTAACTTTATCTTTAGTTTAAGGATTGATTTATTGACTTCTGAAAATTGTGCTCACTTTAATAAGGTAATTTGTGTTTGTTAATTAAGCCAGCGACAACAAAGTGATCCTTTGTTTATGTGACTGAATAAGAATGTGAACTTTGTAGGCTACATACAGCTAGCAGATTAAATGTCACCCTGGATGTGAAAGTTTGAGTGGAACAAAGAGGATCCATTGAAAAGAGCTTAAGAAGGCATAGTATCTGAGCCAGGTTCTTGTGTTCCGCTGTTCAGTGAACCAATTAATGCTCAATTAGTGCTCCTGTTAAATGAGTTTAGGATTTACCTCATTTGCATGGAAAAAAATTTATACTATTGCTCAATGAAGCTACAACTAGGTCAGAGTTGAGAAATAGATGAAAATATATGGCTGACTGCACCAACAGAGTCTCAATTAATTCTTGGCTACAACATTTTAATGAAACAAGCAGTAACTCATTTGCATATACAAATCTACAGATTCTCTATTGAAGTTTGACTGGAAAATAGGTGTGATGCAAACACAGTTTCTTAAGAACTCTGCTTAAAGGCAATCATCTCTTATTGAACCTACTACTTGGGGAAAATACACCTTGTCTTGTGTACGTAAAAATTAAAAAATGAGAGCCACTCGTTTACTGCCAAACAATTTTGAGACAAAAGTGTTAGAAGACCCATAAAAATACTTGTTTTCTTTTAAGAACTGTATCATATGAAGTCTTCCACATTTTTAGAACACATTGATTCTTTACCTGATGCTTTAGTTCTTAACAATTCTGATGGTTTACTTGGTTCTCCAATCCCAATGCTGTTGCCGGCAACAACACGAAATTCATATTCCACCCAAGGACTCAAACCAACCACTGTTGCATTGTATGTCTTACCATTGAGAATTTCTGGAACTAAAAATAATGGGACACTAAGGTACCGAAGTTGGGACTACTCAAAAACAAATAATTATACAAAATTATATAATTATTAATTTAAAATATAATTGTATTTATTAAAATTATTGGACTAAAATATTATTTTTAAAGTATCCCAAAACACTTTTGTCACTCACCTGTAGCAACAGCCTGCCAACCCACAGAAAATGGTGTCCGAGTCTGAATAGTAAATATTTGAATGGGACTGTTATTATCTGGGCCTGCTCTCCAGCTTAGTTGAGAAGTAGTACTGGAAATCTCTTCCACTTTCACATCCTCAGGAGGACCTGGTGGACCTTGAAAAAAATGTTTTATCATGACTACATTAGAGATACTTACATTCATTAATTTGGGACAAGGATGGTTTATTTTTACCTGTTGTGCTTAGAAAGTAAAATATTGACCATAATGTATTTGTAGCACATTATTAGAGATAAAGTTCTATTAATTCCATTTATGTGGTAAATGACATTAATGTACTAGTGCTTCCTCTGGAGATTAGAAAATATCAGGCATATGATGATTGCATATCAACCTATACTCAAAAATTGAGAACCATCATCTTTAATTCCTCTTAAAATCTAACTCAAGTAAATGCAGCTAATCTGAAGAACTACAGGAGCATGTGGATTTGATTCTGGATTGGCAAGAATGATTTATTATAAACAGAAGACACGTCTAAGTTTTAGGTACTGACACTGCTTGCCAAGCGTGACTGTTCACTATAGTCAAATCCTACACAATTCCGTGTCTGTATCCACACTACCAATACCCTGGAGTCCTGGGGTTTAAAAAATAAAAAATCTATCTGATTTCATCTCACTTCCATATCATGATGTGGTTTCTCAGAGGTCTACAATTTAGACATGAACATTGTGACTGTGAATAAACAGTGTGATCAATTTTTCACCATTTATGCTTACCTCTAACAATGATATCGGCTACTGCAGATAAACTTTCTAGGGTTGTTTGTACTGTGCAGAGATATTTTCCTGAATGATTTAACTGAATATTCCTTATCATCAAATCCCCAACAGATTCCTGCAGACAGAAAGGGAGAAATGGATAAAAATATAAGCCCATATAACAAGTCCTACTTTATTGTTACAGCTGGATAAATATTAAACATAAAACAACTCTGAAATTAAAAGATATACTAGTATCATTGTTGTTTCTTGTATCTAAACCCTTTTATTACCCCCCTTATTATAATTACATCTAGACAACATGTATTCCTACAGAAGACACAAAACAAAATAAACCAAAACAAAAACAAATGCGGCTTCAAAAATAGTCAGTGATTATCCATGCAAACAAAGATGGAGAGAGTAATTATGAAAAATGGTGATTCATATAAAAGACTTGATTCATTTTATTAAGCACTTAACAATTGCAGTAACTTACTCCTCCGATCCTTTCAAAATGAGCTATTCCTTTTTTTAAGTCTATGATATCTCCATTGAAAAACCACACAAATACCACTTCAATGGAGGGGTCATGGGACACCTGGCATGGCAGCACTATGCTCTCGCCAACTGTAACATCCATTTTGGAAGGTGGGACAGTAATGACAGTTCTCTCTGTTGAGAAAAAAAAATTTTTTTTTAAGTTTATGAAATGCTAGCCTATGGTTATAAAATACATATTTCTGAATACTTTTTCATTCATTTGAAATTATATAAATGCAACCTGGACTTCTACAATGTCCAGTGTGAAATATTCTATTGCCTGTTTTTCAATGTCCTGTATTTATTATTGTAGCTTATTACTTATACTAAAATTAAAAATATAGTTATATTCACACCTTATACGAAAATAGTTTACAGAAAACTGTAGACCTTAAAAAATGGCATTCTATATATACAGAATACACTGCATTGTTTTTGTTATATTTTATTCTAATATTTTAGTCATAACATGACAATGGACACACTGGAAACAGCTCTAAATACTCTCTTTTAACTTCACATACTATGAGACAAACCACGTTTCTGAGATAATGAACACCATAGTTTCTATAGAGATTTAGTCATATGTTTATATTTAAGAGGGTGAATGCAACATATTTATTCTATCTTTGACATAGCTGTGATTTAATTTTCTTTTTGTTAAACATGCAACATGAATAGGGAAGATGGAAGTTTTCTCTTTTATAATTCAGATTTTCCATTGTTAAAATTATGCATCCATCTTAAAAACCTTCCCTCTAGAAATGTTGGCCTCTTTGTCAATCTTTGATCTACAAGACCTAGCATTTCACTGACCAAAATTTCAAATGACAATCCCAGGGTGTGCCAGTTGTACTTGAGAGTCCTATATTTCTTCAGATTAAAAGAGATTCACAATGGAGATCATTTTGACTACTTTGTTTATAATGAAATTCTGATTCCAGAGTGTTGAGAATTGAGCAAAGTGAAACTCAATACCTATGAAGGGGCCCTGGACAAATATTTGGATTTAGATACATACCATCTCACCAAGAATAAAATGTTTTGAAAGATTTACATTTAAGAATAAAGGTTTTAGGCAAGTTATTGGAAAAAACAAAAAACAAAAAACAAAACTGTACATGAAGAAGTTTAAAAATAGTGAAATGACCCTGGAGAATCTCTTTCTCTATGGGTCATTTATAAGATAAAGTTTAGCTCTCTAAGAAATGGACTAAAAGCTTCACTTTCTTCTAGCTTCTTCATTCTGCTCAAGAAACCAAATTAACATTGAGTTTGTATTTATACGTTCACATTGATTAATGTGCAACTGCATTTTACCAATATAATGTTTAATTATTATTTGACCATTTAAACATTTTTAATTGTTTTCTTCATTCATAAATATTTAGAAGTAGAAAGTAGGAAGTAATAATTTGGGGTTTTAAGATACATATTGACAAAAGAGCCATGGAAAAATAAAAACACACGCTATACTTCTGAATATGAATATAATGGAGAAAATCAAACTCTTAATCTGTATTAGATATGACTTCATTTTTTATTATTTAAAATACTTTTCATATTTATATTAGATGCATGTACTTTTTATTTTTTATTTTTATTATTTCTTTTTGAGATGGAGTCTTGCTCTGTCACCCAGCCTAGAGTACAGTGATGCCATCTCAGCTCATTGCAACCTCAGCCTACCAGATTCAAGCGATTCTCTTGCATCAGCCTCCTGAGTAGCTGGGATTACAGGCATGCACCACCACGCCAGGCTAATTTTTGTATTTTTTAGCAGAGACAGAGTTTCACCATGTTGGCCAGGTGGTCTTGAACTCCTGACATCAAGTGATCCACCCGACTTGGCCTCCCAAGTGCTGGGATTACAGGGGTTAACCACCGCACATAACCACATGCATGCACTTTATATTCTAATTATATCTAAGGAGAAATTTAAAGAATGGTTTTGTGGACTATGCCCATTCTTAATTCCAAGCCTTCGTCACAGATCTGCAACCAAAATAAGGGTAAAAGATATCCAGGGATCCAAGAAAATTTTATAGAACTAGAGAAAATATTTTCCTTTTGTAGTTGCTCTGAAAACAAACAAATAAATAAATAAATAAATCCCAAATGTCTTATTTACATTTGTAGGAGGATAAGTTGGCTAATTGGATGTGTTGACAGAGCAAAACTGCCCAGATTTAAGGTTTTAGATAATGCAATTAAAGTAATTTTCAGACATTAAAAATGACAGCAAGTCCTTCCATTTATGACACCACATAGTGGCAAAGTTAGATAAATTATTCCCTATCTACATAGTTCATTGTTGTACAGTAATAATGACTAAAGCTTTATGAATAAGAAATGTTTATTTCATCATTTATAATGGTTACATTTTTCACTAGTTAACTCATTTGTAACTAATATTTTTTGAGCATGTAATGTATGTCCAGTCCTCTGCTAAGTACTGGAGTCATGATGGTGAAGAAAATGAGGGAAAAAAATCCTGCAGCAAATCAGAAAGATAAGGAGTGTTCCTTCAGAGAGATGAAAGTCTACAGAAGGAAGCTAGCATGAATCAAATCATATTAATTACTATACAGTAATGTGTGATAAGCCCTATATACTAGGAGTGACTTTTTTGAAACATTTGGCAGATCCTGAGGGGATCAGTTTATTGAGAAATAACTGTTTGAGCTGAGAAGTAAAAGGCAAGTCGTAATGGGCTGGGCAAAGGTAGCAGGTAGAGAGGAAACTAGATTTCCTATGCAGGCAAGAGCATTCACAGAGGAACTATGTGAAAAAGAACTGTGATTGACAGATTCAGTGCAACCATGTTGCTGAAAAGGATAGGACTGAACAAAGAGTAACAGAAGAGTGAAAGTGAAGAAGATGAAGCTGGATGATAGCCATGCTCAAGATACAAGCCACAAATGTCATTAAGCTCGGCTACATAATTTGTGGGTCCAAGGGCAAAATGAAAGCGTGGGGTGACTTTTTTGAAAAAGAGGAAAAAGTGTCATTAAAGGTACTAAATACAAAGCTTTTCGCTTTAAAATAATTTATTACTTATACAATAAAATCAGGGTAAGACTCATAGACAAGTGATGACAGGCACTTACAAATTACAAAATACATGATTTTGGTGTTATAATTTTATATGATATAATAAATAATACTTTATTAAGGTTATAGCTTGATTGATTATATAATTTTCTCATTTACTTTTCTGGTCAATCATTTACTAGATTGACAGAAATTATTTTTAGAAACTTCATTTTCAATTGATATAATTTCAGTGACATCAGTCACTCCTGGCAAATGCAAGATCACAAATACTTTTTGATAAGTTTTTATTTTGTAAAGTACCTTTCTTCTGATGCAACTTTTATGAAACCATTAAGACTGTTTTATAGACTGTAGCAACATTCATAAGTTTCTGATGAATTACACTGAAATATAAATGTTAAAACATCTAGAGCTGATGATTCTCTTCATCAATATTTTTCTAAAAAGATTTAACTCTTTATACAAATCTGTTTTGTGAGAGCCTGAATTTAAGTATAAATATATGCAATATAATCTTAATGTTTCCTCTGACATACACTGTAACTTCTGGAGGTTGTACAAGAAATTGAAAGGGACTTCATGATTTTCATATAATTCAAAATGCCTGTTTTTCCATTCCATTTTTTTGTATCTTCAGTTACAAAGAAAAACTCATCAATTATTGGTTTCCCCAAAGCTTCATTTAAAACTAATGTTCTTATCATTGACTGGAATAATCTTTAAGTTTAATTTCTATTTCTAAGCCTGTGGATTTTATTGCAATGTCCATGTGTATGCCTTCCTCTTGCAATAATTTATTGACAAAGTTTATTGCCTGAGCACTAACAATTTCTATTCTGGTGCTCAGGCTGGAGAGTTAATATTTCTGCAAATCCCACAGAGACAGCCTCCGCGGATGTATGGACAAGCTGGCCTCCCACCTTGGATCCTCCTGTTGACTACTTTTGAAGTCTCCTCCTGCAGCCTTTGCTGCCATCCACTGTTGTTTCTATGGCTGCGACCACCATCATCTTTATCCCTCTACGAGGCCCAGGTTCTGATGTGCCCATGCCCCCAGGATTCCAGGACTATGACTACCCAGGCATGCATGTGCACACCTGCACTTCACACCAACTGCTATGCATGCATGCTGACTGCTGGGTCCTCAGGCGTGTGTGCATGAGCCGCCGCTGCTGCTGCTTCACATATGATGCCGCACATGCATGTGGGTATGGTGAAGCAGCAGCAGCTCATGCACACACAGGTTATAAATAAATTCTTAATCATTTTACCTCCCAATTTGTGTTTTGTACAAAAGACAAATGTACAGTCACAGCAGAACATTTCAAGCTTGGGGACTTCCTCAGCACAGGGCTCTGTGTGACTGGATTGTATGTCCATGAAACCAACTCTGGATGTCATGCTAAGAAATACATTCTTACATAGAAGTAGAGAGTAGCATGGTGGTTGTCAGAGGCAGGTGGGAGGGAGGGATGGGGAATGGGGAGATGTTTTTCACAGGGTACCAAGTTTCAGATGGGAAGAATAAGTTTTAGAGAACTATGGCACAGCATGGTGACTATAGTTAATGTAATACATATCTCAAAATTACTCAATTAGGATTTTAATTGTTCTTATCACACAAAAAAATGATAGGATGTGAAGTGATGGCTGTGTTAACTAGCTTGATTTAATCATTACATGATGTAAACATATATCAAAATATCACATTATATCCCACAAATACATATAATTATTATTCATCAATTAAAAATTTTAGAAATGCATTTTTTTTTTGCTGAAAAAATTGGAAACATTGGAAGTATGAAGCAGAGGAATGATATGATGACATACCATTATCTGCAGTGTGAAAAATGGACTGTATTTAAAAAGAAGTAGCTCTACATAAGCAGGCTTATTATCCAGAAAAAGGGGATGCATAGTTCCTCCTGGGAGTAGCCTCCTGTGTGGATGAAGAGGTGCTTGGAGAAGAACACTTTTTAACTGCTGTATCCTCTCCACACACCACAGGCAGACCTGTCCTCATCCTGTGCAGGTGGCTGTCTAATAGCCATGAGGCCACTGATTGCTCTCTC